TTTCTGTGTATGTGTACCATGCAGTGTGAAGACAGTGAGAGAGACTTTCTTAGATAGCATGGTCTTTCTGCAGTCCACTGATCCTCTTCTTTCTCTGTTTTTATAAGGGTGGAGACTATATTTTATTTGTTTTAGCTCTCCAGCCATTAGCTCAGACAGCCTCCATAACAGACATTCAAATGTAAATATTTGTTGAATTAAATTTTCACATTAATATAATGGCTTTGATCCAAGATTCTTTCACAAATTCTCATGATGATATCTAAAGAAGGATATGCATACAGAAGTCACAAGAGGAGGCTAAAAATAATCTGGACACATGGAGTATTTATCTCCCCCACCAGAAAAAACCCCAATTCACTCATCTTTCAGTCTTTCATCCCACCCACCAAACTCAACCTGAGAGGAATCATCAGCTAATAAACTGATCCTGCACAAATACAGGCGCTAACACACAATTAAAGGGGGGCCATTCGAGAGAAAATTGAATGAGGCCAGAAATATGGTTGGCTTTTGGATCATTTAGAACTAGATGTAAATTAGTCCTAATGCAAAGAGATGCATTTGAATTTACATTTGAATATGAGAAGGTTAAAAGTAGAACGTGTCTGCTTTAGGACAACTTAAAACATAGGGAAATTTTTGCAGATCCTATGAGGCATGCTTATGGACTTGAAGGTGAAAAATAAAAATAATGGAGATCAATAACAACTACAGGATTTGACCTAATCAGAGGGAATATGCTCAAGAAAACAAGGAGGGCAAAATGAGGCTTTGGGCATGTAAAGTATCATTATTTCATTTGGACCTTGAATTGTGAGGAGGGACTCTGCAGGAAGAAGCATCCTCATTGAGCAGAGGTAGATGGGCCAAGGGTGGGGTGGCTGTGCCCTAGAGAGGGGATAGTCTGAGAATATGTGAGAGAATCAGCAGTGCAAGAACTAGATTCTGGATGAGAATACCGGTGTTTACAATTTATCAGCCTGACAGCAGACTAACACATCTACGTGGGCCCAGGATCCCACAAAAGTCACCAAATTCATATTAGTGAGAGATTTCTAACTCAATGAAATAAGCAAGAATAAAGAAGCTGCAAGAGAAGAGGTTTCAAAAAAAAAACCCCTCATTCACTGGCCCATTCACCTAGCAGTTACCAAGACCAACCCTGTGCAAAGTACCATTCATAGGAAAAATAAAAGCAACAGAAAGACATGGCCTCTGTCCCCAAAAGTGATAATCTAGGCAAAGGATAGAACATAAATAATATATATATATATACATATATATATATAAACATAAAGGATATATATATAAAAGAGACAATAATAACACAAAGGAACAATCATAATGCTTTAAGTGTGTTTCAGGATTCCAGCAGAGTTAAAGGAAGGAAAGATTATTCTAACAGAAGTGAATTGGAAAGAATGATGAAGGTAAGGGCTTTTGAGAAGACCTGAGCAGTCAGGCTTGACTTGACTGTAAGATGGGAAGAGAACAATATATAATGAGTGGCACAGGCAGATGTCTATGAAGGAACGAAGAGAGAACAAGCAACTGGAGCAAATACTGAATCCAGCAGGATGTAGAGTACTGGCTGGAGAGTTATGGGGGACAAGGCTGGAATCTCACCTGACTGTCACAGACTTTCAGTGCTAAGCAACAGTGTTTGGGATCTATTTGCTAAACAGTAGGAAACCACTAAAGGCTGTGATCTTTTCTTAGCTGGGTTTGATCTACCTGATAAAGTACAAGGTTGTATTTAGAAAAAAAGTGAGAGGGGAGAAAAACTAGGAGACTCCTACAATAACCCCTAAGAGTGCTAATTAATGCCTAAATTATTGAGTATAGATAGCTATGAGAAGGAAAAGATTAATGGAAGTGGTACCTGTTCCTAAAATGTGGAATGTTCTGATATTAATTAGTATATTCGCTGCCAAGAAAATGGATATGTTTATGCCCACTGGAATTAGAAACTTCCCAATTTCAGTATGATAATTCCCAACATACCATCCTCAGATTCTTAAAACATTCCTCAAATGTTTCTTCCCAAAGAGATAATTTCTTTTAATACTTTTTAGCCTCTAAATTAAAATAAATCACCATTATCTCCTGTCAGAGGCTTTCCCACAGCTGCCATGTAGAGGAAGGGCCAAGAAACAGCACAGACAGCAGAACGCCAAAAACAGCCCCTGCCATTAATGAGCTTAAACAAGAAATTCATGGAAGTCTGGAGTTTCTGTCACTTACAAAGCTCCTCCTGTCTGAATATAATCATACTTCAGCAAACGAGCACCTCTAAAACGATTATTCTCAAATACACACCTATTATATGATGCAGCAGAATAATTGTAAATTACCACAAGATTCTTGACACCCACTATGATGCTTTTTCATGAAAGAAACCACAGAGGCTGAATCGATAGAGATTAAAATCTCTCTCCATTATTTTGAAGGAAACAGGAGGCAAGCCATCTGAGAAACTAAGCTGAGGCTCTCTGCAGGCCTTCCTGCCTTCAATTTCTATCCCAACACAGTGAACAACATAATTTGTGCTGTTTTCTTCTATTTCCAAAATGGTTTGTAATCAGACACCAGAAAACAAATCTCCAATAACCTGGCATTCCAGCTTTAAGGTTTAAATGAAACCTGCAGATCATTTCTCTTGGTTACTTACCTCTAAGGCCAAGAGAAACAAGGATCAAGGTCCCACAGCTGGTATGGCAAAGTCTTTTCACCACTAGTGTAAGGTTCCTTCCACTGCCCTCCACATTGTCTCCCAGAAGACTGCAGTTCTAAATATTCATATACCCAAATGATGGGGTGTCAACCCCAGTACTATACACTGGGTCACAGTCAAGGCAGAAAAATAAAAATCCAGCCATGCACACATAAAGTAAGATTGTTCCAGCTTTTCCCACCACATAGATGTGTATTATTTCCAGGTTGTGGACCAGGTGAGATTCATGCAGATTTCTTCCACCAGGGCACTGGTGTCTACTTAGGAAGTTAGTAAAAATAGAACAACATTTATTTAAAAACAAAAAACAAAATCCTCTGGACAGAGTATTGTTTAAAACACTTAGAAAAGATATTAAAAACACTTAGAAAAGATTTTGATCCTTATGAATCTAATTCAGTTTACTAGGAGAATATCAGTACATTGATTCAGATACCTCTAAAATGGAATTAATGATGAGATGTTGATTCTTGACTTACTATATAAGGAAGAGTATGATTATGGTCCATTTAGAACTTTCAGAAAGATCTATCCCTAACCTACCTCTAGGAATCAGAATCATAAGAAGTTATTAAAAGACCCACAGATTCTCAATTAGTAACTCAATCACCATAAAGTTATCACCTAATAATTCCCAATACCCTCAAAGAATGCCTCTGATCAAAACAGCAGACAATCAATCTGTACTCAATCTGTGTGTATCATTTAGTGATTCTTGGTTAAGACTCTCCATCGCTGGGTTAGATCTTGATCCATGGCAAGTTGCCAGAGGCTTTTTGTTCCCTTGGGATTACCATGGCAGCCACTTCCCACTCCCTACCTAAAGGCAGGTAAAGAGTTAACTCATACAGGCCAGGAGCGCATTTGAAGGAAGCAGCACTGGGTGTCTTCTGAGTTATGCTCACTCATGAACCATATGACCTTAATCAAGCTACTTAACTTTTCGGTACTTAATTTTCCTCTCCTGTAAACGAAGATAATATCTACTTCATAACTTGAATATCTACTTCTGCACATCAAATTCAATGAAATAAAGTGTGAAAGCACCAGCAGTATCTAGAACATGGCAGCTCTCTACAAATGATACATATTATCATACATACGGAGGTAGGATTTATCCATACAAGAGCAATGATGTTAAGATCCACATCAGAGTATATATATGATATAGAACAGTATTTACCAAGAATGGTTATGACGTATGGGAGGCTTACCACTAGGAAGAATTTCAGCATCCATACATTTAATGGCTTTTAACCACTGATAACTGGATGCTGCTTCCACAAAAAGTTATTTCCCCCTCTTCTTACTATAGGACCCTAAATCCACAACTAACTTACTCTAGTGAATTAAAAGTAAGCACTAACTGAAGAGGGCAACAAAATAAGCCATTATCAATGAATTTCACTTCAGCAGGGTAGTTTATCAAATTCTTTAGCTGATCAGCAAAAGAGTATTAATTTAGGGCTGAGAAGGTTTAAGACAGAACTTAAGCTTTCACTACTTGGCTACATTGCCAATAAATGGCCTCACATGTATCGTATTCTCCAAGGCTGTCCTGACTCAGTTTCAGGAAGGACCTATTTGCTCAGCTAGGGGACAGAGTGACAGAGTTCTATCAGTTCTGGTGTATTAATCATGAATGCTCATCACACGAAGTGAGTTTGGACAACTGTCCTGACTAACCAAAAGAGACAGATTAGGCTTTAGGTTTTTGGACTAGTCTTGTAGAATGTTAAATATTTATCAGAAGACAATTAGTCACTCAATCAATAGAATTTCTACCAACACAAGTCCACGTTCCTTAGTCGTGTCCAACAACCAGCCAGTTTAGAGTGATATAAACCTCAGGATTACAGCCTTCCAGGCTTTAATAAAACATCTTTCCTATGTAAGTGCTTATGTGTTCATCAGGATGCTTTCTGCTAAATGACAGAAACCCAGCTTAGATTAGTTTAAGCAACAAAAAGATATATAGGAAGCACACTGAAGTGTCCTACATTATTAAGGGATTAAACACTCAAACTGCAGGAAGTGTGCATCTCTCCACAGTCTGACCCTCTCACTGTAGACTGACCTCCTTCTCTGGGCAGCAAACCTAGCTATCAGAAGCTCCTGGGTTTCACAGCTTGTAAATTCTCCAGCCAAAAGGAACTGACTCTTTCCTAACTCACTTGCAAACTTCAGGAGAAGGACCAGTTTGAGTCATTTGCCACACCCGGCCAGCCCACTGTGGCCCCGGTAAGAGAAAGGATGGTAAAAGGGAGTGGCAGGGTGATACAAAGAACAAGGCAGTGCCCACTGGAAGCCTAAGCCATTCCCAAAGGAAAGGGGGCACTGTTCCCAGAGGAAAGGCTGAGGGGAGGGCTGGATAGAAACAATGGCCAACTACTACAGGTATATACATGCAATTTTTATTTCAAGGATCAGCATGGTATGAAAACATGTATGTTTGTTCATTTTGTAAATAAACCTTCACCAAACTTAACCATGGGCCATAAATTCTATAGCCATTCAAGTCAGGTAATCTATTGTATCCCTGACCTTCTCGGCTCAGTATTTCTATCATTCCCACCTCCACTCTTAGCTGGAACACAATAAACCTCCTAAGTAGCCACTTCTACAGGAGAGATTCCATTTACAGTGATTTCACAACCATACTTCTCTTGTCTAGAGTAGCCCTCAGGCAAGAGCTATTTTCTTTGTTATTCTAGGTATCTAATTTTGGCCTCCGATAACCTAAGAAGTTTTTGCAATGTAATTTTATTACGGGAACAATTTCGTTATAGGAGAATATTAAGCAACTGTTAGAATGAAGTCAAAAGGTCAGTATTCACATATAAACTACATTCCTATCTTACAATTCTGCCTACTTATATTTAACAAAGTCTATGGTAGCAAAGTAGACTTTAAAATATTTAAATATTTTTAATTACCTTATATTAGCATTTATAATTATTTCCTCCAAAAACATGTACACTGACTTTGTTGTTTGCTGTATACAAAATATTTTCAAGGTGCTAGTTCTGGGGTTTACACTATTGCTGATATAATGAATCTTTTATTGCCTTCTTCTCAAGGGAATAATCTATTAATATTACTTGATTAGTCATAAATCCTTACCAGTTTAAATTCATATGACCATACAATACATGACCTTTGAAAAGCAAACGCTCCACCCATACTCATGTTCTGGAAAACAATCTCCCAGAATATTAGTCATTTCTGACTGCTCTTCCTGGGTGACCAGATGTCTCCTGGGTTCAGGTGCTGAACAGAGTAAAATAGGCCCCTAGGTGTGGAATTGAAGAACTGATATTCCCCAAGATCACAGGAACAAGGGAACAAGAACCCAGTCCAAACCAAAGGGAGATCAGACAAAGGAACCTACACCAATTGGAGAAGCAGAACTGACATTGTGAGTCAGGAGTACAGGTTTAATGAAACAGCTAATAAAGTTGAAAAAGAGACAGTAGGGCCCAAATCACTTTAAAGGAGCTAGAACCCTTAATTTTGTCAAGAGAAATCACCTTTGCTACCCAAAATTTAACAACCCAAGTGCCACTTGGAGTTTGGGTCTCCCACCAAAGCCATTCCCAAAATTTCTGAGGATTCCTTACGTGTGTACAAGGTGGGGACAGGGGCAGATCTTGTTTTCTCAAAGTCAGCCCAGTGCCTACTTCACAGCCCCTCTGTTCTCCAGCATTAGACCCAATATGAAGTTCAAGCTTTCTTGAGCTCCCCATCCACTTCCCCAATCACAGAAAGCATCCAGGAACATAGGCGACTTTGTCAGCTAATGAAAGGGAAGTGTAAAAAGAGCTTACATGACAAAGTAAATAATTTCAGATTGAAGAATGAACATCTCTCTTCTTAAGTTATCTTTTGACCATCCTGACACCAGATTATTTCCTCAGGTCACTACACCCAGCTTTGCAGCATCTGCAATCTTCTTTTTCCTCCCTCCTTTTTCTATTCATCCCCTTTGAAAGAGCACAACGAATTCCCCTCCTTAGGTCAGGGTGTCAACTTAGCCATTCTCCTCTCCTGTCTTGGGTCAAGACTCCAAACATGCTCTCCAATTTTGCTTCATGCCCCTAAGTGAATTATCAAGGCATTCACAGATAGAGTTTTTCTCCCTTCAGAGGAACATGGGTAACAGTTGTTAAGACATTGGATATAACTTTGAACTCCCATTACACAAGACTGAAGTGGAATCACTGGTCCCTGGATATAGCTAATAAGGAGAAATGAGATTGGGTGGCTCTTCACTCCATAATCTAGGGATACGGCAGCCTGGTTAGGGAGCAGCTCCTGTTCATTCCCAAGTATAGGCATCTGAATCCAGTCTGGGAACAGCTCTCAACTGCTTCTCCAATCTCTCTAGTTGTGGAAGCGGTTGTGGAAGTGTGGAAGTTGTGGAAGTGATTCCCCTTTCCAGAAACAAATTCTGACTTTTGGTTCATTGAAAATGAGGCACTTACAGGCAGATGTCGATCATCTTCGAAATCTCAGGTAAATCAGCTCCCCTCCCACATACCACACTGCATCAAGCTGGCTTGTAGGACCTCTTGCCCCTGAACCCTCTCCCCCTGTGCCTGGCAGGCCCTGACATATAGAGAAGCAAGAGGCCTTTCTGCGAAGTCAGGTTTCAAACCCTGTCTGATTCTGCTGAAATTACAGGTAACACGGGCTCATGAGAATAAGCGAAAAGACAGAGGCACCAAACTAGAAGCCCAGACAGATCTTAGGAGACTCTGGTAACATAAGGAACACAACACTGTTTACACCAAAAACCCTTTGCCCTTTTGGATTCTGTGGATTCATTTGGCCAGTTAAATACTTCATGATACTCTAATCTAGACATAGTCTTTAACCACTGGATATGTGGTGTCCCCTATACAATATGATCAGAAGACACACTGTCTATCAAAATTATAAGTGGGCTTCATATATGAAAGTAAGTTCACTCATTCGTTCATTGATTAATTCAGCAAATATATATTGAGTGCCTACCGTATGCCCACCAGCTTAAGCTCAAAGGTTTAAGCCTCTTGAAGGCTCCTGTCATGACTCTATCCACCCATTAAAAAAGGCACACATTATAGGAGAGGCTACATTTTCCAAGATGCATGTGAAATCCAAATAAAAAAATAATCCTATCCGAGCTAGCAATCACAATGTGCCTGTCAAAAGAGCAAGGCACTGGTTCACTCTCAGTTCAACTCCCTTTCCCTAAAAACAATCTGGCTCTTGAGTGTTCCTAAAAGGTATCTTAGAGTTAACATAAGCAAAATAAAACTGTTTAGTTTCTCCCCAAACCAGTTTCTACCCCAATGTTTTCAGTTAATGGTGTCACCTTTCACCCAGTTGAGAGATGAGTTTAGAGTCATATTTGAGTCTGCTTCCTCTCTCTCATTTCTCATATCTGATTCAGCCAATTCATCAGCAAGTCCTTTGTTTTACCCAAAACCCCATCCACCATCCAGCATCCCACTTCTCACCATCCCCCTACTACCATTTAAATGAAGCCAATATCACTTTTACCCTAAAACAACTGTAACACTTTCTAACTGGTCTCCTCATTCACTCTTAACCTCTTACAAATCCATTCTAGCAGCTAGAAACTAAATCCAATTATGTCCTCTACTGCTCAATGGCTTTCCATCACATTTGAAACAAAATCTTAACTTTACACGGCTACAAAGGGCCTGTATCCATCATTCTCAGCCTTGACTGTTTATCAGAATCACCTAAAGAGCTTTCAAAAATAACTAGGTGCCACGCAGATGAATTAAATCAGAGTCTCTGGAGGTGGGCTGTGGCAGTTTTTCAAGTTTGCTTTCAGAATAGAAGACCACTGCTCTCCCTGGCCTGCCCACTGTCTACCTCCCTTTCTGAGTTCATCTGCTCTCACTGTCCCCTCCATTTGCTACACTGCAGCCTCACTAGCCTCCTTGCTTCCTTCAGTCCACAGTTTCTCTGCTTTACCTGGAAAGGTCTTCTTCATTCCCACCCTCCACTCCCACCACCAATCTTCTTTACATCATTGGTTCCTTTTCATCATTCAGGCCCCTTTGGAGAGGCTTTCAGGGGCCACTCAACACCCTGAGACAGTGGTTCCCAAAGTGTGGTCTCTGGAGCAGCAGCAGCAACAGTACCCAATAACTTGTGGGAAATGTGAGTTCCTCAGCCCCACACCAGGCCTCGACTGAATCAGAAACACTGAGGGGGGGCTCGGCAGTCTGAGTTGTAATAAATCCTACAGGTGATTCTGACGCACATGAAAGTTTGAGAGCACTGCTGTAAGTGTGCATGTGTTTGTACATAACGTGTGTACATATGTATATATTTATCTGGCTATCTCCATCCCTATATTTTACTACCTGATTTTATCTTCTTCCTATCAGTCATCTGAAATTCTTATTTATTTTTTTAATTGTCTGTTCCCACCCCCCTAAAATGCAAGCTCCATGGAAACTCATGTTCACCCCTATGCTCAATGATTAGAATAGTATGTGACACACAATAGGTACTCAATAAATATTTATTGAATATGTGAACCCACAAACAGACCAGTCTAGCCCCTTCCTCCACCAGAAGCCTCATGGCTCTGTTTTGTTTTCCTCTCCTCTAGAGATAGGGCCCCTGAAGAAGATGGGCACAGGGATCCTCAGAAAACAGTATGAAAATCCAGCTGAACAGCTACACACCAACCCCTGCTAACCCTGGCTCTTTCAGAATGGAGCATTTTAAAATGTTGAACATACTTGGCTTACTTGAATGTGAAGTAATTGCTACCTGTGATTAATGCAGAGCTGGAAGGCCTCATTAAATCTCAAGTAACCTGCCAAGACGTTTTTCCAAGGAAACAAACCTGCAGAGGAAGAGCACGCAAGAGGGTATCTTGAAAGCAGAGATAAAGAGGAGGCTGGGGACTCAGGTCAGAGGTCAAGATAATCCTACCCTCAAAGGACATTCTCCCTTGACTCTGGAAGCAGTGGCTGTGTGTTCATATGTGTCTCTTCCCACCCTCCACCCACACCACGTTTCCCAATCAATGAAAAATTCTTTTCTTTGATTTAAATGTGTTTAAATTATAATGAGGACCTTTGCATATCTTTACCTGCCATTTGTAACTTCTTTTTCTGTGAATGGCCTGTTCCTGTGGTTTTCTTTTAGGCTGTTTGCCATTTTCCAGTTGATTGGATAACTACGTTTACTTTTGTCTCTCATATGTGCTGTCATTATTTTTCCCAGTTTGTGTTTCACTCTTGACTTTGTTTTGATTCTTCCCTCAGTCAGAAGTTAAAATTTTATTTATTCAAATGTACCAGTCTTTCACTTTAAGGTTTCTGATTTTAATGTCAATAAACAGAAAAGCTTCCTCTTTTCCAAATACATTAAAATATTCACCCATACCTCCTACTAGTACTTCTATGGCTCTATTTTTTTTTAAGGTTTAAATCTTTGATCCATTTGGAGTTCATCAACTTGGTGTGAAGGTTGAAAAATGTTTCTAGTATTTTTTTCCAAATAACAAGTCCATTTGGGAAACTCTGTAACCTCAGCATTTAGCATAGTAAAATGATACACAGGGTTGATACTCTATGTTTGTTAAATTATCAGAAGGGTGATGAAGCTACAAAATAGCTATGGATCACACAACAACACAGCCCAAAAAATGTGTGTTCAGGTATAACAGTAACATAACATTAACGGATATTAATGTACATCTTAATAGTAAAGTGGACAGGTGTTACCCAAAACCAATTTGGATATCACTAGCGCCAAGGACAAAAGGAACAATAATAATAACTACTGTTTATCGAGCACTTATTATGCTCCACACACTAGAAATGCTAAAACGTATTAACACATTTAATCCTCAAAGCAAGCCTATGAGGAGTTTCTACCCTATCTTCATTTTACAGATGAGAATATGGTGGCACCAAGAGATGAAGAAACTTGCTCAAGGTCCCATGATTAGCAACTGGCAGAGTCACACTCTGGGACAGAAGCAATGACGGCTTAACTACTATGTCATTCTGTCTCAAAAATCATTATTGACTACAAAATAGAAGGAGCAACAGGTTTTTTTGCTATTAACATCTAAAAGGTACACATATTTTATTGGGACATTCTGTATTCTAATTCTGTATTTCTAATCTGAAAATTGAATAATCATGTCCCTATCCCCACCCTCATCCAATCCCCTCCCCCTCAAAAAAAAATCCTACCTCAAAATTCAATAATGCCTTTGGCTGCAATATCTGATAAAGGATCTATGAAGGTCCAACAAAAGGTGACTCAAAATTTAATATCTCTCTCAACTAACTCATGCTTTACATCTTTTAAGTTTAAAAACCATGAGCTGCTGAAGTTTCCAAGCATGCCCTGATCTGAAATACTAATATACAGAGCAGCACTGAAAAATTTGGTCTAGCAAAGTCAAAAAATATTTCTCGGCATCTTATACCACAAAATACTGCAAATTTTAAAGATTTAGATAAGATTATTCAAAATGCTATTAACAATGACAGGTGTTATTTTGTAACTCTAGTTTTTATTTAGAAAAATGAGAATTTTCATGATGGCAAAATATAGTTTCACTCCCTTCTGCTCTCAAAATTATAAAAACCACAAAGACAGTAGGAAACAAAAACACAAACTCCAACTTCAATGAAGTGAAGTAACTATAATTTAACATTTGAAGATGGAAAGCAGGTGGAGGAAACTTTTAAGCAGAGTGGAGAAAAGTCAAGTCAATGACTCCAAGAAGGAAGCCAGTTTGCCCCTGTAAATGTTTAAGGAAATGGACACACTGAGTACTCTGGAAGATGAAAGTAAGGGTAGTTGCTAAAATGAAGACATATTTAAGTTTTAATCACTGGTGGGCTGCAGCTGGTGTGTACTGGTTTGCAAGAGCCAACTGTGCTGTGACCTCACACTGACAGACTGAAATCAACCATTGTGGGAATATTTACATTACAGGAATTGGCAAATGCTACAAATTAGAAATGCAGTTTGTTCTATTTTTTTCGGAGAGCTAATTCTTAAACATTTACTAGCATATCATAGCTTTCAAATCTTAATCTTTACCACCCAATGGAAATCTGGGTTTATTCTCCAGAGAATTGAACCATGGGGGTTTCAGACTCAAGCACAACAGACACAAAAGACAGCACATGAGAGGTACGGTGCTGATAACATATGAAAACCTGTATTTTGATCACTGCATTCTTTCAACCCAAGAACATCTGCCTTCAGACTGTATCCCCCTTGGCAGGAGACTGAGCATTCTTCTCTGGAGAAACTAAACTGCCCATAGAAAAGATTTATGAATAGTAATATTTTCAGTGAGGGGTGGAGTGGGGGTAAGGTGGGTCTTAATGAAAAGTCTAGGTAACTTGTCTGATCATCCTACAGTGACATGCAAAGTCTAAAAATTCTTTTCTGAAGCACCTTTTTCAAAAACTTACTACAGGATATGCCCCACCAAAACAAAGAAACAAATCAAGAAGAAGAGGATGTGAATTTAAGAAATACAAGAGCGAAGCAATGGGCATTCCCAAAGGAACAGCCATGCCTTAGGTCTAGTGAACACAATGCATATTGGGGCTTGGGGCAGGAGGCAGAGGCTCCAAGAAGAAGGAATAAAAAAGGAACTGGTAAATTATCTGACTGCTTGAGTACACGGAACACTGTACTGAGAGACATTTTATAGGACTACTGAGGATGCTGGAAGAAACATCATTCAAAGAAAATTAAACAAAGGAAAAAATGAGGCAATTACTTGTTCCAGGTAAAAATGACCACAAAAATAAGAGAAGAAATGTACTCACAAGCAGTTTACTCAAGTGTAGAAAGCACTTGCATACGTCATAATAAGATACTGGAAAAAGATGTAACCACATATTTAGACATAATAAATTATGTAGGGAGGAAGCAAATTTTTTTACTTTGCTACACAGACCAAATTACTTAGTGCAGCTTTGTAGTACACACATTTCAGATCAGGGCATGCTTAGAAATTACAGCAGTTTGTCACAGGATTTTGGACTTACAGGAAGAGGAAGCACAAGTGAATGAAGATCCTAATATACCCTAAGGTAAGTATATTAATAAATCAAGAAGCATATTCTCTTCAAGTAAGGAAGTAAATACCATCTAAAAATATTGAAATGGTTCTTCTAGTAAGTGGAACAAGGCAGTGGGAGAAGAAAGAAAAGAATATTGGGTTTTTTTAAAGTATTCTTTATAGGAGTATTTGACTTATTTTCATGTAATACTTTCCTCATGATTTTAAAAATGTAGATAGTTTAGATATAAAGACAAATAAAATAGTTTATAAGTTACAGGCACCTTTAGAGAATATGGGAGTTATTCTGATATTCCAGTAATAAAGGGATTCCCACTTTGTAGCAACAGAAAAAAAAGAATTCCAAATCAGGAGAGGTCTGGTTAAAACATCTTGCAATAAACTATGTGAGTATTCATCATCAAGTTCCATGATCAAAGCTGTACTTAGTTACAAGCCGTTAAACAAGAGAGCTTGTGATGAACATGCCAAGGATAAACTAGGACAGATTTATCTTCTGACCTTATCTTTTGCAAGAGACCAGAATCTTTACTGGGACAACCATACTTCTTCATCAAATGTTTACAATAGATAAAATTCATGTACCCTCTGTGTACTCCTAATTTCATTAAGATAAAGAAAAACCTTTTCATAGTTCTCTTCATACTCTATTTTCTGCTTTGAAATGCCAGTCCAACTGCTAGAAAAGAAAACTGATTCCATAATTAGAGGAAATTACTGAGGCGGGAGGTTTACAGTGGTAAGAAAAAGTGCTAGAAGTTAGTGGTACAGATGAAATAAATCATTCTCTTTGGAAGTTTGGTGGAAAAAGACTGAGAAATTCAGTGGTAGTAAGGGTCATGAGAGAAGAAATTTTCCAGATAGGAGAAATCTGAGCTGTTCAAAGTCAAGGGGAAAAGATGTAATTAAAAAAAAAAAGTTAGCTGCTAGATTGTGGTACAGAGGGAAACTAAAGGTGGAAATGGATAAACTGAAAAGCAAAAGCCAAGTTTACTTTCAACCAAGAAGTCCTTCCCTGTGAAACTCCAAGAAGATGATATCTAGAAACATGTTTCTGAGGTAAACAGAAGGGAATATGAGTGATATTTCCTGGATGGCCTTAGTTTTTGAGTGAAAGAAAGGACCGGTTGTCTTCTAAGGGGTAAGTTAGGAATGGGAACTTTCAAGAGTGAGAGGAATTGAGAACAGTCATTCTCCCAGAGTGGACCACCAGGAGTCCCCAAAGACCATACCCGGGACCAGGGAAAGGCTGATCTCGCCAAGAATCACCCAGGGAGGTGGTCAGACAGAAAGATTCCCAGCCCCCATCCTCAGGAACACTGATTCCACAGGTCCAGGATGAAACTGGAGGATTCATTTTTAACAGGCTCTCCAGGGGATCTCTATGAGTAGCTAAACCTGAAAGCAATTGGATAGGGGTCCCCAAGGTACAAATGAAAGAATTCCAAACAGTATTAAAGGCACCAGAGAGACCAAAATGTAATAATCTGCAATGAGGCATATCTATGAGGTTTTGTTATTTTCTCACAACAATGGAAGAAAGAGAGAAAGAATTATAGGGGCTAATAGTTCACACAGTAACTGGGAATTATAGTGGCACTGAGCTGCTGACCAAATCTTACCTTCTGATTCCACGGTGGAAAAAAAAATTAAAACCAAAACACAAAACCTCATTTCTCATTCTTTTTTATTTAGTCTGTTTTTAACCAAAAGCATCTCCCATCACTGATAAAATAATAACCTCAGTCCACACTGGCAGTATGGTCCTAGGTCAGTCCTTAGTTTGAATTAAAAAAAAAAGAAAAGCACATAATTTGGTTCCTCCTTTGGGTACTTTGCTAGTAAACTTCTAGGGCTACATTCTTAAGTGTTTTTAAATAAGATATCTAAGTTTATTGATACATTTAAGTCTAGTTTAATCTCAGCCTTTAGCTTTCTTGTAGAGCTTTCAGCAAGACATGGATACTCCACAACTTAAGAAAGTGATTACTTACTGCAGAGATGTAAATAAAAGTTTTATTTTGTCTTAAGGTAAAAGCTCACATTCCCAAATCTCTGTGTCAGAAATCAATAGAAAGAAAGGACAAATAAAAATCAACTACTCTCCTGGAAGTGTATTCTTTTGTAGTTTAAATGATGCATTTTCTAATCTTTAATACCACATCTGAATCACTTGATCAAAGCTTTATAATTGATAGTATTTAAAAATAACTTTCTGAAAAAAATTGAAACCAAAAATAATATTAAGGCACAATAGGAAAGACAGTGTGTCTGTCTAACATAGCACAGTACAAATGGTCTTTTGTCTTTGAAACAATAATACTGTTTCCTCACCCAAGTGCAGCCTTCTTTTAAGCCCACAGAGTGAAGAAATATACACATAATTCAGGCAAATTACAAGGGCAGCTAGTCCATGGCTTTATAATAATCTCTGTCACAGTCCTGTATTCTGGGAAGCAGCCAGTTGTCATGAAGCCTTAATGAAAAATGCCAGATACATAGCTTTACTGCAAAACACAGAAACTGGCCTGATTAAATCAATGGATTTCTATCAGATTTTGATATCATCTGGAAAGGAAAATCTAGCCGCCTTCTGAAAGCTGAAAAATGTAATTTCTTCAATCAAAAAATTTCACTAGAAGTTATGACATTTTAGTCAATGTAATCATTAAAGTGTCAGTTACTTCATTTCATTTGCTTTCTGATTGACATGCCCAAGTTCCTTTGATTTATTTTCATTAAGCAGAAAAAAAGCTGTAAGTCACACACAAAATAATATCCAAACCCATGTTTGACACTTGAAACTATACCACCTTAGAAGTATTTAGCTCTTTTTTAGACCTGAATTTTACTTTGTTAGATACACAGCTTTCATAGAAAAGAGCTGTATTTCTTAACAAATTTTCAAAGAAAAAACTTAAGAGGCAGGTAAGAAATATTCTTTTGTTTATACAGTTAAGAAACACATGGGGAAGGATATAGTTCAGTGGTAGAGCCCATGCTTAGCATGTATGAGGTCCTGGGTTCAGTCCCCAGTATCTCCATTAAAAATAAATAAAATAAAAATAAATAAACCTAGTTACCTTCCCCCCTCAAAAACAAACAAACAAACAAACACATTTTAGGACAGTGGTGTTCAAACCTGGGTACACATTTAAATCATCTGGGAAAAGAACAATATCTCATTCCACACAGATCAAATGAAATTTTTGAAGGTGATGCCTAACAAGTGTTTTTCACTTTTTAAAGCTACCCAGGTGATTCTAATGCAGCCAGGTTTGAGAATCCTACTTAGGGCACTGACTCAAAATTGGCTGCACATTGGTATCACTTGGGGGTGGAGGTTAAAAACACTCTTTGGTCCTGTTAGGGGCTGAATGGTGCCCCCTCCACATTCATACGTTGAAGTCCGACACCTGGTACCTCAGAGTGTGACTGTCCTTGGGAATGTGTTCTCTGTGAAAAGGCCGCCACCCACAAGCCAAGAAGAGAGGTGTCAGAAGAAACCAACCCTGAGGACACCTTTATTTCGGACTTCCAGCCTCCAGAACGGTGGGAAAATAGATCACAGCAAATAAAATAAACGATCATGGGCCACACAGACGGTGGCACTTTGTCATGGCAGCCTTGGCAAATGAATACAGGTCACATGTCCAGAATTCTGACTTCAAAGGCATGGACGCAGCAGAGATCAGGGAGTTTTAACATGCTTCTCAGGTGATTTTCATGTGTGTCCACGGCTACGAGCCACTGCTTTAGCTGTCCTGGAGTCTGATTTCATCTGCTTTCTACCTGATGTTAACTTGAGAGAAGCTGTAACATCTCCCTACTGAAGCTATTAAATGAATATAACCAAGACACTGGATAGAAAATAAAGTTTTTTATTTTATTGAGGATTTTGCTCTACCTAGTGAAGAACTCCCACAAAAAAAAAAATGGTGCCTTTGGCTCTGTCTCATTTCTGTTCCCACCTCCATCAGTGCAAGGTGAGTATTTTTTTTCTATCATTCACAATATAGCTATCAAATGTTCTTATTTCTATTTCTCTATCTTTTCCCTCGTAATACTGCCACGTTTTATCTCTACATAATTGAAACATTTTTATAACTATTTCAAAATATGGATTTTAATAGGTTCAGTGTTAATTTGGAGTGTAAATGCTATACGTTTTCTTTCTTTCCCCTGTGAGTGGCCTCATGGCTTTTGAGTCACACAGACCTCAGATCCAATCGGCTCTACCACCAAAGAGCTGTGTGACCTTCGGGAAGTTACATACACTCTCCAAGCTTCTAGGCGGTCCTCTTCGAAGCTCTGGCTATGTCTTACCCTAGCCTTCTCCCTCTTCTCTGCTGGTGGAAGATAGTAATAAGTGGAGTTTAGGGCCCAAAACAGAAACCGTGGCTTGAAAATACTAGAACAGCCCAAGTAGCTGAAGACCCCTACCTAGTTTACATATTACTCGAGAAAGAATTAAATGTCTATTTTGTCTGGAACACTCTATTTCGGGGACACTAGATTACAGCAGCATACCCTGTCCCATACACTACCCATTGTATGGAGAAAAGCTTGAAGAAAGGAAAACATGGAAGTTAAGAGATCAGTTAGGTTACTGCAGACATCCAGGCATAGGAATTGGTGGCGTGGACCTGGGAAGTGGAGTGGCAGTGGAGGTGGACTTGGGATGTTGGTGGAGCAAAGGTACACTTTGCAAGTACAATCAACACAAACTGATGATACAATGAATACAGAGGGATGTGTCAAACATGGCTCCCAAGGTTTTAAGAAGATAAAGGCATTTATTTACACATGAAGATAGAAGAGAGGCATATTTCTAGGGGAAGATCCAGAAATTTAACCATGTAAAGCTTGAGATGGCTGTGAGACACAAACCTGGAGCTGTCACATCAGAGTTGAAGGTGAAAGTCTGAAGTTCAAACAAGTCTGTTCCAGAGGTAATTTGTGAGGTGGGATCATTGCCTGACCCATCCCAAATACAAAGTGCAAAGGAAGTACAGCCAGCCAAATGCCATCTTAAATGCTTAGGGAACAGTATAGGGTCCCAAGTCAGTCATTCCTCTATGTGGAAAATTCATAATTCTTTTGATTACCCCTTGTGTTTATTTTACAGCCTTTTCTCTTCAAGATTAATGACTGTAAATTCTTCAATCCTTATAACAAACATCTGATTTATTCCTATTCAATCTTTCATTGTAACTGTGTGTTTGTGTTTGTTTTCAAAATTCTTCACCTAAAGTTTATTTCTAAAATATCTTTGTCCAAACAATCCCTACAACATTTAGAGGCCGATATAGCAGAGAACATCAATAGGGTGCTCGGGACTGTACAAAATTTATAGAAGAAGCTGGTGAGAGAGACAAGACAAGGAGAGAAATGGGCTTTACAAAATTTTATCCATGTCAACTTATGCCTCTCTTATCTGAACGCACTCATGCAAATAGTATTGATCATTCTAATAGTGCTTCTCAACATGAGAGCGAAAGAGGGACAGAAACACCCTGACGTGACTGCTATGGCCACTGGGAAGGCACTGTGGATGTGGATATGCTGCCTTCACAACGTCAGAAGCACCAGCAGTGATCTCCTTCTCAGCTCTAACAAGCACTCCCGCACTACAGCTGCACATTTATGAACGTCCATGGACTCAGCAAAAGTGGGTTTGGGAATCCATTAGGCATTTTATCATATTATCCCTAGCTCACACTACTTTTAAGAGTGCTGAAGAAAGAAATCCCTTGGAAGACAGCTTCCTGTCCATTTACAACCTAGAAGGGATCCTAAAAAAAAAAAAAAAAAAAAATCACTTGGTGGCAAACCAAAACATTTTCTCTAAGAAGAGAAGAAACTGTAAACACATTCATTTTAAAGTACTCATCTTTTAACTATAGCTGCTAATACTGAATGACCGTTGCCATAACTCTAATTGGCTGAGGTGCATTAGAGTTAAGTGTATCAAGCTGAAATGCACTTACGTCTGCCTTACAGATTGCTGGAAGCATCTCACAGCATGTATCTCTGCAGCTATAACCATTTTTAACCCAGCTTCCTCTTCCAGGAAGTCTATTTTAGGCTCAGAATTTAAAATACTGTATCAAACAAAAGAAAAGAAAAGCATAAAGACTTTACAAAATCATTATATCATGTAGGCCATAGTACAGGACAATATACAAAATAGAGAAAAACTATGAACATCAAGAACCTTCCTCCCACTCTTGTCCAAGACACGCCTTGATCTTAAGTCACTCAGCAGGCCCAGTACCACTGACTTGCATCAGTCATTACCCTGATGATGATGATGGGCCAGAACAAAGAGCCAACTCACCAATTACTAACTACTCCCATTTTGCCCAAACCTTACAGCCTTTTCCTCAACCACCCTTTCTAAAGGTTTGAATTAATATTTTTATTTTCCTTTCTACCAGCTATAGGGGAATGAATATAAAGACATGATACAAAGATCAGATAAGAGGCAGAAAGAAAAGGAGAAAAAGAGGGCAACTTAGATAACTCCAACTGATAATGAGCTCCTGAATAATTAAGAATCAGCTGAGAAATGGTGTCCACACCACTCACTGAAATTTTTTAGTTCTCTTTCCACAGCCTTACGTCAAGGACAAGCCTTTAAAAAGCAGAGAGCCAGTAACTGCTCCCCTCATACATGCTTTGTTTCCTTTAAAATATTTCTTTAATAAAAGTTTCTCACTTTATATAGACTGATGCTAAACCTCACCAAAGGAGGAGGGGGAAAAAGCCCAAACCAGCAGACCTGAGCAAATCAGGATGTCTTCCCTATTAGATGTAATCTCCCTTTCCTTTTAACACTTACAATGGGACGCTTAAAATGCTGTCTTCTATTTCTTCTCCATCCTGAACTGCAGCTCCCCCCAGCTTTACTATTAACTCGAAGCTGCAGTCCACGCCTCACTTTGAACCCCTGCAACACCTGGCAGAGTGTCACACTCAAACTAGATGACTAAAGAATGAAGCTTGAATTAAAATAAATTGACATCACCTTTCTACACACACACACACACACACTCACTCACTCACTCACACACAGAATCGTGAATTATCAAGAAAGCATTGTAAGTCCCTGGAAATGGGAATAACTGTGTCTAATGCAGTAAAGAGACGTCTGAGAATGGCAATTCCTCAAATCACAAGCTGCAGAAAATACCCAAGTTCCCAACACAACCTCCTTTCACAGGATCCACACAAAAACTAGCCACATCCCGTCAGATGGCTACTGTCGAATGGGTGATCAAGTAGCAGAGGGCCCTGCAAGAAGAGTAGCAATGACAAGAGAAAGTGTATGAAGGTCCATCAGAGCCTAAAATAGAGAAACTGGTCATTCTTTGGGTCCTTTAGTTATATCGTGTCTTACTCATTCACCATTCAAGAGAATTTCTACTTGCCCAGTCCTGATCAATGGACGATATTTGACAGTCTAGTCTAAGCAAAACTGGGAATACATATATACGGTGTGGAGAATGACCACAATCCTCCAGTTTCAATAACCTCCCAAACACCTTAAACTCTTCATTTTCCCCTTCGTGTTCAACTGACCTTACAGTAATAAAAACATTCAAGAAAGAATTTTATCATAGTCTTTTATACTTCACATTGAATTTAAACCTGGAATAAAGGGCTCTGTCTGCCCCATGGTAAAAAGATCGGTTGGTGAGCTGGTTGGTACACTGGCTGGAGGAGGGCACAAACTCCATCCTAATGTCCTTGATCTCATACTCAGTAAGGCCATCTCTAAATAGGAAGGCAGAAACCCGAGCAAGACCATTTGTGTACAGATACTGGTAGCTTCTGTGTGAAAGAGAAAAGAATGGGTGGAATTTGGATGGAGAAATTAGTAACTCAATTAAGGACAAACCTTATAAGACACTGCTTACAGCAATAGCTGAGCCCCATGTGCTAGGCCAATTCAATGACTTTATTCTCTTTTTTAAAAGTGAAATATTCTCAGCATAGTTCAAATTACAGCACCAATTCCAGACTGCTGCTCTGAAGTGGGTAAAGTAGTAGGCAAGTATATAACGAAGATGACTTCCACCATCTTGTGAAGAACAGATCTTATGGAGTAGTGTTTCTAATGACCAAAACTGTATTGTTGCTTAAAGTAATGTAGTAATTGAAGATTCTTCTTGACTGATATTTTCAAAAGCACCTCTTTATAATGGGAGACTGGGATATGCAGGAAGTCTTATGCTAAAAAGTCACTATCATCTCTTGTAAAAGCATGATCTGGTTAAAGACGTCACATATTCCATTCCAAACCACGTCAATAACTTTTAGATTGTTCATACTTATACAAAGCAATAGTAATGGACTTTTCTTCACTCCAGGAGTCCTATGACTGGCAGTCATTTGCATAAGTTACTACACACTCTTCTATGCAGATTCACCCATGGGAATGAGTTCCTCTTCTCTCTCACTCAATGACACATGTGTGTATTACAAGAGAAAAAAAATGCAACAGAACAACTTTAGGCAAGAAGTTTGATTCAAGAAATGGATTGGTATTAAGTATATTCTTTTCTCTTTTTTCCCATTATTTTACAACCTCACAATATAGAGAAATGATGAGAGATGACACAAGTCAAAGAATGAGGAACAAAGACAGAGGAGGCACAAGCACAAAGTCTTCTGTATCACTCACTTTGCTGGTTACCTAGCACTTTTTTATCTTTTTACATGGTTATTCTTGAAGATTCATATCTGCCCAGAATCTGAATGCATAGCTTTCCTGTCCTCGATAGAATCAAAATATATAAAATGCCCAGCTTTCAATTATTCCTATAAAATGCCCTTTAATCACTCACATCCCTTCTACCTACACTTCTGAAGCTGCTGAAAGCAGACAGGACAAGGAAAAGGAATTTCACAGAGGATCCCAATGAGTCACTGTGAGTCGCAAAAATGGGCCAGGCCACTCCTGCTGGTCTGCTAACAACAGAGCTGCAGTCTCTTCCAAGTGAAGAATGGGAGCCATCCTGGACACTGAACAAAGAGTGAAAGAAGGGAAGTATTTTCATTCACCAGCAGAGGAATATACTGCCTCATCACCTGGAAGGCAGAGCTGTTTCCACCTGGAGTGTTTATAAGAGCTCTAATAGAAGTGTATAAAACTAAAAAGGGGTGGTGTGAATAATAAATGTCACTATGGCACAAACGAAGCTAAAAACTGGCTGACCTAGAACCTTTTTCTTTGTTTATTTATAAACATAATTTTAAAACTATCAATTCAGCAAACATTAGTAATTGCAGGATTTCATTTGGTTATTTGACACATGCCTATGCTAAAATGTTCTCATTTTAGAAAAGTTAAAAATAAAAGTATAAAGAAAAAATTACTAAAGAAAAAAATATCATCCAAACATATTAAGGCAATGATTATTGACATGCGCATATATGTTCTTCAGATATTTTTCTAGGCATCCTTATTTTCA